AGAAAATTGGAGTAATTTTAAAACAGTTTGGATTTATCGTTATACTGGTATAAACAGGGTCATAGCAATTTAACCAAATGGAAAGGATATCAAGGCAGGGGAAAGGGGATACATTAAATAAATCAATGACCGCTTGATCAACATGACAAACCCGTAAAATTTGAAACCATGCACATGTATCCCCAAAAAATTAAGTCAAAAAAAATTCACAATGAAATGTAAAGTGTCTGGCCCGGAAGAGATTTTGTCGCATTAAAAATTTAATTTAAAGCCCTTGGCACCAGAATTTTTTTAAATGTGAAAAAAAATACAAAGGGGGTTAAAAAAGGGGGATAAAGTATCTATCGCCCCTCTTTAAAACATCCTAGATATCCAGAAACCTATGGATAATGAAAAACTGATTTAACAGTACAGCTTATAACCTGAATAAAAAAAAATCATCGCAGAAAAGAAAACAGGAATTTTAAAAATTCCAGCTCATTTGTTTGTATTTGTATGCTCATATTTATTTTCCAAAATGGGTTTATACGACCTGTTATAATTTTCTAACCCACCCCCCCCCCCCCCCCTCTCACTGTGTAAAAGAAAAACTTAATTTTTTAAGTTTTTACCTTTTAATCTTGCAACATGTAAAATTTATTTTAAAAAAACCCGGGTTAATATTTATTAAAACCCCTGAAAAAGGGTGAAAATAACCAACTCTGCATTTAAAACAATAACAATCAATCGTTCATTATTTATTTTAAAACATATCATTACACGAACAATGAAGAAAAAAATAAGACCAAATCAAAGAATGAATCAGTTAACTTTTACTTCATATGAACGCGTGTTTGTATTTAAGTATATTACGCCAAAAAATTGATGAATAACGGAGAAAAGTTACTTCATTGAGTATGACCGAATTATGACGTTATCAGCACCTTCATGGCGTCAAGTCACATGATCCAAACATGGCGGCGCCCATAAATAAGGTCAGAGAATAGAGTATAACAAGTAGAGCTTTTTTAAAAAGCTTCCCGTCTTTAACAACAATCTTAAACTGTAAACTGATCTACACCTATCAGGCCCTGTAATTCTTTTGAATTTCTTGATTTTGTATTTCTACATTAGCTTTTTACAGGCATTAGCCCTACCACGGTTGTGCTCGGTCATCTCCGTAAACTTTGACTCGCCGAGAGCTTTCGGCAAACCTCGGCTGATTCCATTTCCTTCTTCAAACAAGAAAGGGGAAAAGAATAATAACAAATTGTAAAGCCTGCAAGCAATAAAAATCAAATTTTATTTATAATGAAGTTAAAGAGATCTTTTTATTTTTTGCTATACAAAAAATCATGTTATTAGGAATTAATTACTGCTGATTTTGTTGTTCGTTTTGTCATTTTTTTTTAAGATTGAAAATCTTGCAAAATTGTTAAGTCGTACGAAAATTAGATCATCAAAAAGTTATCTCCCTTGCCTTGAACAGCATTTCAACCAATGAAATAATTGAAAATTTTCTCATCATGCATTTTCTACCAATCACAAAAGAGAGGAAGTGCATAGTCCGAAGACTGTAAAAAACTTCAACTATACAATACCGTCTTCCAAGGAAGACGGTAAATAGCATATGTAATGGAACTTTTTTCCGTGTTTGTGACGTCACAATGTGTAAATGACGTCATAAAGTAGATCACTTGTAACAAAAAATGGTTGACTTAGTCGTATTTGAGAAACGAACGGCTGTAAAGTAAAACGTATATCTTGGAAACTCCTTTGTAGAAGTTTATAATAATTTGTATACGGTTTTTGAAGACAAAAGGCTTGTCAGCAGTTTTGTCTTTAAGTGGATTGATTGTTTAAGTGAAGGAAGGTAGATGTTTAAAAATGACGTCTGTTCTGTTGCCCAGTGAAAGCAAACTGGGTGAGAGACGTGTCCTTTATTAAGCAATTTGATATGAAAGATCCCAACTTACAGTTAGAAAAGTAAACAAATATCTTTACAATAATATGATTATCAAAACCATAAAATATCGTTTACTTTAGACTTTAAACATATCAGATATGATAAAGTGAAGGCACCCATACTTTAGCCACATGAAATAAACGACGCTCAAAAGACAGAGAACTTGGGTTTTGATGATCACCATGCTCATTCTGCAAAAGGATATCATTATCCACCCATACTATTATCAAGATTAAGTCATTTCTAACAAATGGACTTTTTTTGTTGGAAAAAATAACCTGCATGGTAAGAAATATAAGAGTCGGAAAATTTTTTTAAGCCTCTGTGACAGAACGCCAAGGAGCATGTCACGTGACCGCCTATATCACGTGATCCGCGCATGGGCAGAATGGTTGCAGATGCGCATTAAAATCGGAGAGGACTACTTTGAAACATTTTCAACACTGAAACCCTATATAGTTTCTTTTTTGGAAGTTATTCAATTAGTTCGCGAACTTTTTGATCACCCCTCGTACTTCTGGTATACATAGTATTACTCCAAGACTCAAAATCTCTCAACTGACAAAGTTTGATGAATTTGAGAATCTCATTAGATACTGCTTTTTAGCCGGGCTTATTGCTCAAAGAGCAATTGCCGGCTTATGTGATCCTGTTCAAGGCAGGATGTTGACCCCATAGTCGCCATTTTAAAGTTACGTGCAAAAATATAGTTCTTACTCTCAACCGCTTTTGAGATAATACAAACGCTTAATAAAGCAACAAAAATAAAACGAAGTTTTATCTATATAAAATAAACATTAGTAGTAATGACTTTGAAACTTCATAAGTCAAAGAACATAGTTCATTAGCGTAAGGATTTTTGATAATCAGTGTTACCGTAGTTCTCTACACATACGAGGTAAAGCAGGAGAGGGAACCAGACTGGCCTGTTTGTTTACATTCAGCTGCGGAGTACCAGATTTAATTCTGATTCTGACAAAATCAGACATGGTATTAAGATGAAAAATTCACTGTCAGTGTCTTATCATTTATATTGATATTTTTAAAATAATTTTTTAATCAGAATATAATCGTGATTCATGTAAGAAATCCACTCTACTCTGTAAATGAGCCCGGCTCTTTGTACTTCTGAGTACTTTGATTAGTTAACGTTCCCGTAAAACCCAAATGCATCAAGTGACAAAGTTAGATGATTCCAATCCAATTAGTGCATCCTATATATATGCATGTATTTTAAAAAGTAGGTCACAGTGATCACAATCACAAATGTTCCATATCCAGTCAATTTGTTTGAGTCTGAGTGAACTTAAGGGATTGATTGATTTAATTTATATTGTTTAACGCCAAGTCGGCAATATTTCAGCCATATTTCGGCGGTGAATGAAAGAAATTATGCAGCGAACAAAGACGTTAAAAAGAGAGACTAGTTTTTACCTAGACCTAGAAACTTTGTTCAAGGTCACTGCACATTCACTGACCAAAGGCACTCTGTGTGTGAAGTATGGGCAACATTGGACTAATAGGAGAAATATGTTCCGAAAAAGGATTTATTTTCACATAATTCTGTTATCGTCTTAACCTTTGACCTAGAAACATGGTTTTAGGTCAATGCACACCCTTTACCCAAAGGCAAGTATGAGCCTAATTGGACCAAGGGGAGAGAAGATATAGTCCGGACAAGGATTTTTCATATAATTTTGCTGTGACCTTAACCTTTGAACTGGAAACATGGTTCAAGGTCACTGCAAACCCTTTACCCAAAGGCACTCTGTGAATATGGGCCAGATTAGGCCAAGGAAAGTTAAAATATGCTCAAGACAAGAACTTAAACAGGAAGGCTATTTCTGACCTTGACATGACCTTGAAACTTTGCTCAAGGACACTGCACACCCTTTACCCAAAAGGCACTCTGTGGGTGATGTATGAGCCAGGTTGGGCCAAGGAGAGGAAAGATATGATCCGGACAAGGACTTTTCATATAATTCTGCCATGACCTTGACATTTGATCCAGATACATGGTTCAAGGTCAATGCAAACTGGTTACGAAAAGGCACTCTGTGTTGAAGTATGAGCCAGACTGGGCCAAGGAGAGAGAGAGACATGAACCGGAAAGGGTTTTTCATATAATTCTGCTTTGACCTTTGACCAAGAAACATGGTTTAAGGTCACTGCACACCAGTTACCCAAATGCACTCTGTGGTTGAAGTTTGGGCCAAGGAGAGAGGAGACATGATCCGGACAAGGATTTTTCATATAATTCTGCTATATCCTTGACCTTTGACCTAGAAACATGGTTCAAGGTCACTGCACAACAGTTTCCCAGAGGCGCTCTGTGGCTGTAGTTTTAGCCAGATTGGTCTGAGGAGAAAGAAGATATGATCCGGACAAGGATTTTTCATATAATTCTGCTATGACCTTGACCTTTGATCTAGAAACAAGGTTCAAGGTCACTGCAGAACGGTTACCCAAATGGCACTCTTTGGGTGAAGTATGAGCCAGATTTGGCCAATGAGAGAGAAGATATTCTCCGGACAAGAGATTTCGGACGGACAGACGGACGAACAAACTGATCGCTATAGGGCGCCCGCCGAGCGGGGCCCTAATAACTCTAATTCAATTAGTATTGAATCACTTACACCTAGCCATTAAAATTCAGAAGTCGGTCAAGATGACCCTACTTTTTAGTTAACATTCTCCAATGATCTAAAATGTATCAACTGATAAAGTTGGCTGATTCTTGGCACGTAAATACATGAAATATAAAAAGACCAAAAATGATTCAATAAATTTCAATGATTCAATTTTTTTAAACAACTAGTACTTTTGGTTTTATTTACCTGAATATATCCCCTTATTTGAGGATCACAACCCTAGTTGTATTAACGGTAAAGGATACCAGGAGGCAAATTTGACAATCATTGCCAAAAGGGATCTTAATTTATAGTCCATGTTCTAAAAAGTCTACACACACAACACAATGGTCAAAGCATACGCCTAAGGCTTAGAAGAGCTAGAAATACTTGAAATCTCAAAAAACATAATAATCATCCTGTATCTTGAACATTATATGTACATACGGGTTTGACATATATTTCCTTTGTATGTTTCTGGACAGGAACACTTGTCGGGAGCTACACAAATGCCTTTGTTCAAACAATTTGGAGAACAGACAGCTGGAAAAAAAACACGATTAAATTAAGTTTCAGAAAGAAAAAAAAACAGTTACTAGGTTCGTAAAACTGGCAAGGTTGTGCAAATTATACATTTAATGATGTCGACGACCCTTTTCTCTTAATTGATTTTTCCTCTATCAGTCTAGTTTAAGGTCATCTGAATCACTCAGCTGACCTGGTGCTATCTCTTGCCGTATGTCGTCAGTTAACAATTGAAGATTTTTAGCTTCTTCCACTCAACCAATTTTGGTTTAAAGAATCCTTGCGTGAACGGGAAAAAAATAATGTATTTCATGTTCCCTGCCCTCTGGAGCCCCAGGGATGGGGCTAAAAACCCAAATTTGATGCAATCTTTAAAATTCTTTTTCTTTACTCCTGGACATCAAGCAGTTAAACTGTTTCTTGGTTGTAATCAGCATGGAGCACCCTTATTATACAAATCGACATTTACCTTTACATCTCTCGTCTCCCTAATCTTTTTCAGCATATAAAACAAGTATTTTTCTCTATTGTTGCCAGCTACTGAGAGTATCTGGCTCAAACTAGATCACATGATCAAGTATAAAAAGTGTTATAGAGTGGGTGTTTCTATTTTAAGAAAAAAAGACCCAAAATTGTTTTCTAAAATATCATGACTTTATTGAAAAATTTAACCAATGATGTATATTTTATTAGATAAATTAAAAAGACGATGTTCATTAAACGTTTAAGAATTCATTGATGTTTTTAAAGCGGTTTTGATTTTATGGCGCTAGTCCATGAACTTTCCCAACAACCCTCGTGTTTTATATGAATGCATACTGAAATAAGTATTCACGCAAGGTTACAAAACCCGCGAATATTTTTTGATGCGAATAATTAATTGGTGAACGGTATTAAAACATTTTCCATTCATGGAAATAAAAAAAAATATAAGAACCTGTTACTTTTTGGGGGTCTACAAGAACTTTTTCTTTTGTGTTTTGTTGATTTCTAATTTTGGGCATTTCATACCCAGAGTATCATTTGCATTCGAAATAAAGCTTATGATGGATTATCCTCACTGGGACAGTATTTTCAGTTCATCCATGCACACACACTCACAACCACACCTTCGTCCATCCACAATTGAAATAAAGAATTAATTTACATATCAAAAGTTGATAATACCGGCCGGTGCATGCTGTACAAGATTGAAATTCAATATATACAACTATATTATGCGAAAATATTTGCTTGAAATGAGTAAATAGAATATTTCAAGTGTTCTTACGTGTTCCGCAAGTTTGTCCTCTATACCTAGTATTAGAACAGTCACAAGTGTGAGACGAGGTACATCTACCACCATTAATACACGGTGGACTACAAAGAGCTAAAAAAAATAAGTTATATTGTAAATTTTATTTCATGGATATCCACATAATTATTAATACAAGAAACCGAAAGAAAGGGTAACAATAACGCCGTTGTTATTCATGTTATTAGCAACCTATTTTTGAATTCATATGTAGAAGACTTTGACCAGAATCCTATATTTGAAAAGAAGAAAACACTTGTTTCAGCTCGACATTTAGATGTAACGATGACGTATTAATCAATGAACAGTGGTTATTTCCATTCATATCACAGGCACTTGTTTTGAAATAAATTTTTAACCCATCGTATAATAATAAGACAAGGTATCTTAGTTTCATAATAAGCCCAGAAATTCTTAGCAAATACTTACGTTGCTTACAGAGAGGTCCTGCTTGATTGCTTGGACACTGACAAGTGTTGGGACTAACGCAGGTTCCCCATTTTGACAACCTGGACTACATACAGCTATAAATTAAAGATTTCCTGCTGAATTAGTTTAATTCATATGGTTTTAGAAACCAAAAGTCTCTGTCGACACTGTAGCTCTACTGGTTTGTACTTATAATAAATAAAGGAAGAGAAAAGAAGCCATTGCCATTAGACCAAATCTGTAGGAGGAATAGCTTTTTAAAGGAATATCACAGAAATTTCTATTTTTAGTAACCATGGCAACACCGTTCATCGAAATCAAAAACCGGTGCAATAAATTATGTGTCATAGTGTAGTCTACTAGTCTGAATAAATTTATTGAAATCAGACCAAATCTGTAGAAGGAGTAGGGTTTTTAAAGGAATTTCTATTTTTAGTGACCATGACAACATCATTCTTCGAAATCAGAAACCGATGCACTAAATTTTGTATTTTAGTGTAGTCTGCTTGTGTGCCAAGTCAGACCAAAACTGTAAGAGTAGCATTTAGAAAAAATTGTTATAGACAGACGGACAGCTATACAGACAGACGAACGGACGACGGACACCTTACTATCGCATAAGCTCTTCTGTAAAAACCGTTAAATTGTTTCAACGTTTACGAGAAATAAAGATTGTCAGAGACCTTCAAATCAAGGGAATCTCTTCATGCTACAAAAAAGACATATTATACTTAAGCTGATAATTTTCGTTGCTTTTGGGAACGGGGTCGTTTTGGAGTATGTATATAATCTTGTATATCTGAAGAAAACATACTGTATGGACTATGGTATAATATGCTTTGTCATTCATTTTACATTGAAGTGGGGGAAAACATAAAAATTAAGGTTTCGAAGTTTAAATGCCATACATATACACAAGATACATGAGGGAGGTGTATACCTGGATCCACTGATGATTCAGAATGTCATCCCTCAATTTTTTTATTATGATTTTATAACGTTTTTATTATATAAATTACGATACCAACAAATAAACATGTCAAAAAACTAACATAAACTACGATAACAACTAGAGGTACTGTGATCAATGAACTCACTAAATGATACCCCCGCCTTCCATATGATTATTATGACAAAGTTCATGTTTTGCTGTGGCCGAGAAACCCAATACATCTGTCGGATCAAAAAGTAAAATAGGAGGTGCACAATGGCAATATGTAATAAAGATTCTGTGAACGTTTCATTAAATTACACTCAGTGGTATAAGAGGAGTTGCGAATAAGAGATAGGTACCCCAAAGCATACAGATAAACGGACAGACAGACGGACATACCGATTATCGTATACCCTTCCACTTTTCAAGCGTCCTTGGCGCATGATACACTGTACCAGCTGTGATATTTCCTTAGGTGTTCACAGATTTGTATAATTTTTTGTAAATTAACATTTTTGAGATCGATTACTGTTCGTTATCTTCGCCTTTTTCATTAGAGATATTAGAATTTTGGCAAACTTAGAAATAATCTTTTAAATATCTCAAATCAGTTTTGATCTAATAGTGCGGTAATAAAATTCATCTTACGTTGTGAGCAGCGTGATCCTGTATATCCCTGGTAACAACTACATGTGTTAGGTCTACTACAATAGCCATGCTGACAATTGGGATAACAGATTGCTGTTTATTTAAAAGAAAAATATACATTAAATTAATATTATTCAAAACTTACAAACAGTGTACTAGAAATTTGAAGGAGAAATAAGTATTTAATCATACGTGTTTGACAAGAGTTTCCTGTATACCCCGAATTCAAAGGACATCTACACACGTTAGGGGCTACACACACTCCTTGATTTTGACAACTACAAATTGCTAGAAAACCAAGAGATACATTTCATTGAGAAACACACAGAGAAAGTTAAAATACATATTGGCCTCATGACAAGCCATCTGTTAGCATTTTACACGTGTAAATCTTCACATAGCATAAATGTACAATATTAAATTGATAATCTTGTTCGCATTTAAAATTATACATTTATTGACGGAGTTTGGGGGTAAAAATGCGTGTTTTGTTGGATTTAAGAAACACACTAACCGCTAAAGCAAAGTTTGTTTCGAGGTGTCGACAAAGCGCATTTTGTCTGAGAACACTGTCAAAAAATGTTTTGTTATACCTTTTACTTCTTTTACTTTTTTTTATTTTGACATATGGTGTAAATTTGGTTTCCCGCACTGCGGTTTAAATTAGGTAAATTCCGTAAAATTCTGTCGAACTTCAAGAAATGCATTTCAGATATAACTGACTCTTTTCTCACTCTGACATAAGTGGTCCAACATCTCGTCGACATAAAGTGCAGGTCCAACATTTCACTCTGAGATCAAACCAACTTATGACCGCTCAGTGAATTTTTGGAAACGTTAACATTTTTAGTATAGAACAAAATATATGTAATTTTTTTAAGGTATAACAATACATTACATGTATTTACATTTTGCTGAAATTTTTAAGAATGACCTATTTCAGTTCGTATATAAGTAAATTCAGAAACAAAAGGCTTCAACTCTGTTTACCATACATGTAACTTAAAGCTGACATGAATTCCTAAAAACGCAACATGTTCATCTATGTACGACTTGTTTCATACCAACTTTAGCCGTATTCCGCCATATTTCTTTCAGAGACCTTGTATCATTGTAACGATATATACCCAAATGCGCTCGTTACACTTGAATGATTTTTTGGTTTGGGTATCGACTTGTGCACATCTCCGATGGTAACCGTAAAGCATATGAGAACACATGAGGAGATCAAGACATTTCAAAACCACAATAAACAACACAATAATCATATTTCTGAATAATTATTGATTTGAATCAAATGAAAAAAATGCAAGTTTGGTGAGAAATTTAGATGCACGAGTACGTATTTTTACAGTGCGCCAATTTATGCAGAATAAACTTGAAATAAAAAGCAGTAAAATCTGCAAACACCATTTGAAATTATATCATTTGAATGGAACAAAACAACCAACGTCTTTGATTTGCAGCCCCTATGCAATCGATGCATATCGAGAAAACGCCTCGAACGCTGTAAACGTACCCATACCTGGTAATAAGGTTACTGCATCGGTTCGAAGATGTGCACAAGTCAAGTGATATACACCCTGAATTCTATTTATTGAAATATGCATCACAAAAAAGAAATAAACTCCACAAAAGCTCAATAGTAAACACACTGTCATTACTCCGCACAGACTAGCACGTCGATACACTTAGTCCGTGCATGCTGATCAGATTTTGGTCAGGGAAAATATCACAAGTGGAAAGAGAAATTATTTGGTATTTGCGCGGCTGAAAGGGGGGGGGGGGGTTAATTGTGCTATAATTGTGAATTGTCTATCTACATGTAGTTCTAATATACATTCTATACAAAGTCATGAATATACTAGTAGTCTGCAGTTGGTTTGCGTCGCAAAATTCATTTGTCAATTATAACTCATTGTTTTAGTACTAATCTCAAATCTAAACCAGGTAATTTGATGTACGGTAATTATTAAATATTTACTTCAAATCTTAAAAGCAGTTAACCAGAATACAATTTTTTTATGTGTACATAGATCTATACGTTCTTTAACACACAAACACACGAAGAAATGCCATCTCCTGTTCAGATTGACATTTTGGCATTTGATTTTTTAGGCGGGGGGAGGGGGGGGTGCAAAAATAATTGACATTCTTGGAAGACAGACATCTCTGCCGAATTCAATTTTTCACAATTTTGAAATTTTTTTTTTAAATGTGTCACTCCGACCACAAAGTATGTGCATTTTGAGGAATGTATAAATGTTTTATAATTATGTTGTTTTAGAGAGTCTTTCGATATTTCAGTATCCCTGCCTGATAGTCTAGCTATTTTTTTTTTTATATAAAAATAATTTCTGTAGCAGTATTTGGGAGATAATTTTAAAAGCTAGGGTAGGGATTCTTGACACTGGTTGAATACGGATAATTTTTATTTACTCTTTTGTATACTGAACTCTCTCTCTCTGTAATCATCCCTTAGGGCAATAATAGGTATAAGATCCTACGCACTTTGTGCTGTACCATTATTAAGCCTTAGGACAGATCAAGGATTTTTTTTTCAGGCGGGATGTCAAAACTTCATAAAATGAATAATAATTTTAATTTGGACAAGAAGTTAATCCAAACGGCCAAATTGAAAGAGAAACTAGAGGTATTGAGAGCAATGAGCACACTAAATGATATCCCGCCTCCCATATGGTTATAATGGCAAAGTCCATATTTTGCTGTTGTCGCTAAACCCAAAATAAGTGTCAGATCAAAAAGTAAAATAGGAGGTGCACAATGGTAATATGTAATAAACCTAAGATCCTGTGAAAGTTTTATTAAATTTCACTTAGTGGTATAAGAGGATTTGCGGATAAGAGGTGGGTACCCCAAAGCGTAACAGACGGACGGACGGACATAACTATTACGATATACCCTCCCACTTTTCAAGCGGGGGATATAATAAACGTGAAATATACATCACAGGAATGGGTACATTGGGAACTTTCTCAAATACCTTCTCAAACGCATTGGCCTCGGAAGCAAATTGAAAGTGGGGGTGGGGGCTAAGTGCAAAGAATATTTTTTATACATTCAAAAAATCTGACAAACTTAAGAAAAAGGGGGAAATGTCCTTTTCCAAAACACGAATATCTTATTTCGTGTGGGGGAAAGGGGGGGGAGGTAGCGTTCGAACTTCAGTAACAAAATTTTTCTCCAAACACCAACACTTTCCTCTTTTTTAATCTATACTGCGACTTGTCTGTGGAAAGTGAGGGGGGGGGGGCTAAACCTACGCAGCAATGTTCAATGTCTATACTAAGTATATATTTGTAAAAAAAGCCACCCCCGGTTTCGACACCTATGCTCAAACGTACGAGTCGAACCTGGACCTGGACAACAGACAAGAGAATTTTTAAAAAGCTAATTGTAGGTAAAATGTGGAATTCTCACGGGGGTTTGCTCTCTCTGTCTATCTGCTTTTTCTAGTAATCATTAATTTTTTATGCCTAGAAATTTAATTCACATTAAATTCTATTTTCATTATCATTGTACCACAGAATCAAACTCGTTTATTATACCCCTCACAACAAGTTGCGTGAGGTATAATGTTGTTGGACCCATCAGTCAGTCCTTTTTTTTTGGTCAGCGCAACTTCTTATAAACCACTGCACAGAGATTTGTCGATCTTTCGAGATATTTATAGGAGTCAATGTGTGTCTAGATTTGCACATCACCAGGAAATTCCGAATTCTTTATTTTTTCGGGAATTTCCGCACTTTTACATTTAGATTTTGGCCATGTCTTGAATATAAAGATGAGCAGTTTTTTCTCAGCGCAATTCCTCATAAACCGCTGCACACAATTTCTTCAAACTTAGCAGATATTTAGAAAACAATGTGCATAGATGTGCATATAACAAGGAAATTACGATTCCTTTATTTTTTTCTGGGAATTTCAGCACTTCGACTTTGGGGGGAGCGTGGGGTATGTTTTCATTCATTGTGCATAAAATTATAAATAACTTTAAATCAAATTATATTAGGTCTAATAAAGCCAATACACAGTATTTATTTGATAATAATTGATCAGAAATCAATCTGTTTCAGACGTTTTTCTTAAATTATTTTTATGAGAGTGTTAATATGCATGTTTTATTACACCCCCCCCCCTCCCATCACAGGAAAATATCTTCAAAAGGTGAATAATCGTAATAACGCATGCTTTATTATAAATTAAATGAAGTTAAACCATGTAATCATAAATTCTATTTGCAACATTTACAGACAAGAGTAATATTTAGTTTTGAAAAAATTACTTGCATTTTTTTCAATCAATCCCACTGAGCTTTCAACCTTTGATATTTTCCCTGACCAAATAAAATGATCGGCATGGGCCACGTGTGTCCAAGCATCTTTTACTGTTGAGTTAGCAATGGATTACATGACTTCTGAGATGCATTTTTCAATAAAAGTAAAATAGGATAATTCTTTCGACATGTGCACATCCCTGTAACGATAGCAGTAAATTCAGGTAAATGTTTTATCACTGCGTTTGACGCATTCTCGACCTGTATGGATTTTTGCTGTACATGAATGTATTCCGTGTTAGTGTATTTTCTATATTGCAGCAAATGCATTCAAAAATAATTTAATTCTAGGTTTAGTTCTATTTTTTTGTTGAATTCATGTATTTGGTCAGTTTATTCAGTTTATGGACTTCTAAAAACTATGCTATCGGAGATGTGAACATGTCAACAGCCAGGCTAGAAAATCACTCAAGTGAAACAATTCTACAAGGCTATATATAGCAGGTACGGGTGGCCAAAAATCTTCGATAAAATATGGCGGAATCGAAGAAATATGGCGGACAAGGGCGTACAGGAATGTAGTAAGTCGTACAAAGATGAAAACTAATGCCTTTTTAAGAGTTCATGTCAGCTTTAACATTGGATTGTTTATTCGCATTGTTTGATTTACTAAGTTAGGAAACAATTTTGCAATACTTACGTGTGTCACAATTACTTCCTCTGTACCCAGGGCAGCAATTTGTTACCCATTCGTAATAGGAATGTGTTACCCATCGGTGATGTGTGCTTTAAATAGACCAATAGAAGAAATTAGAAGAATTTATGTTTTTTGAAAGTTTTCGAATAATGCTGCGATTCCATTTTTTTCAAAAAACGTTTCACATTAAAGAGTAAAAGATATGTATAATATAAAGAACGAGATGGGTTCTGTATCTCAGATACAAATTTTGGAGTTGGGCTAGTGCGTAGACCGAGTCGCCGCCCCGAAATCGTAGCTGCAGAACTGCTCTCCGAAATAATAAATTGACAGACCGGAGAGCTACATTAAAAAACTAAATATTTATTGCGCGCAAAATTTTGCGCTTGGGTCTGAATTAATTCTCCGAAATTTTAATCTAAATTGCAATAAGCTAGATTTCAAAACATGAAATTTTTGTGTGTGCACTTACCACCAACCCCACCTCCGACAGGAGCAATACCTTACTGGTACCTGCAGGCCCTGAATACTGGGTATAACAGGCAGCAGATCTGAAACAGAATTAGACTTATAATGCTTCGAATTCTGTTGATCTTCATGTGCTTTCATATAGGTGTCTAAAAATGTTTTTTTTTTATTTTTAAATATATCTACGGAAGTGTATTAATGCCACTTGGACACTTCACTTTTTTTTTATTTCTACACTTTAAAGTGTAAATTTTACACATTAATTCTTAAAATTTTACACTTTTATCTATAAATTTTACACTTTAAATCCGGAAATTTTACACTTTAATTTGTAAATTTAACACTTTAATCTAAATTTTAACATATTTAGAGAGTAAATTTTACACATTAATCTAGGTACTCACACTTTAATCTGTAAATTTTACACTTTAATCTGTAAAATTTACACTTTAATCTGTAAAATTTACACTTATTTGTTTATTCACACAGTTAATTTAGCATCTTCACACATCCTCAGTAACACATTTTTAAGCCAACAGACCATGTTTCGTGTATGATAAAATTTAATCCTGATGTTTTATATTAAAGTAAAACTTTTCTTTGAATATAAAGTGAAGAGCATATCAAACATACACGCACATATTCCCGATCACAGGTGTTTAAGGACCCCTCCCCCCCCCCCAATATAGATTCCAGGGCCTGTTAGACTTTTTTCACATGAATAATATATGGATGACACAATTGTGATATAATCTATAAATCCTATCAATTCAGAAAATTTGTTTAAACTAACATTTTATTGGCTTACAAATGTGTTACTGAGGATGTGTGAAGATGCTAAATGTGAATAAACAAATAAAGTGTAAATTTTACGGATTAAAGTGTAAAATTTACATATTAATGTGTAAAATTTACACTTTAAAGTGTAAAATTTACAGATTGGAGTGAAATTTTATATATTAAAGTGTAAATTTTACACTTTAATCCGTAAAATTTACAGATTAAAGTGTAAAATTTAGCATTTTTAAATGTGTAAAATTTACAGATTAAAAGCGTAAAATTTACACTTTAAAGTGTAAAATCAACAGATTAATGTGTAAATTTTAATATATTAAAGTGTAAAATTTACACTTTGAATCCTAAAATTCAAGATTAAAGTGTAAAATTTACACTTTAAAATCGGCAAATTTTAGATATTAAAGTGTAAAATTTAGATATTAATGTGTAAAATTTACACTTTAAAGTGTAAAATTTACAGATTTATGTGTAAACTTTACAGATTAATGTGCAAAATTTACAGATTAAAGTGTAAAATTTACAGAATTTAAAGTATAAATTTTATAGATTAAAGTGTAAAATTTACAGATTAAAGTGTAAAATTTGGATATATTAAAAGTGTAAAATTCACAGATTAAAGTGTAAATTTTACATATTAAAAGTGTAAAAATCTACAGATTAAAGTGTAAAATTTACATATTTAAAGTGTAAAATTTACAGATTAATGTGTAAAATTTACAGATTAAAGTGTAAAATTTACCATATTTAAAAAGTGTAACTTTTAAAGATTAAAGTGTAAAATTTACACTTTAAAGTGTAAAATTTCAGATTTAAAGTGTCGAAATTAAAAAAAGTAAAAGTGTGCAAGTGGCACTAATACGCTTCCGTATATATCTCACAACTTTTCATTTAAAACAAATTTGATATTTAGTTTTTGTGATGAATAAGTAATCTATTTCTTGTCTATATCAGGTCTACATAAAATTATCTAAACAATTCAATGAATTAAATTCGTATACATGTTTACATATATGTAACAGTATTCTGTATTCATTAATGACTACCCTTAATTATTACTATCATTGTACAATAACACCTCCCCTTGTCACGTGGTTAATAACGTGGAAGCCATGCCAAAAGCCATGCTTGTTTTTACTTCAACTTTGCTACTCATTTATTGATACAGTACTTCGTGAAACAATATAGGTTTCCTTTGATTGTATGATTGATTGTTTATTGTTTTAACGTCCCTCTCGAGAATTTTTTCACTCATATGGAGACACCGCGGTGGAGTGCTGCAAATTTTGTCCAATACTCAGCACTTAGGGCCATTGAGCAGTGAGGGGTCTTTTTCGTGCCAACGCCTGCCGCTAAACAGGGCCTCGGTTTTTAAGGTCTCATCCGAAGGACCCGGTTTCCTTTGAAAAATACGCGTAGTGTCCAATTTTTTGTTATAATAATATACTTTTACACTGTTGTTAAACTAGAGGTACTGTGAGCAATGAGCTCACTAAATGAAGTGCCACCTCCATCATATGGTTATACATGTATCGCGGGAAGAGTCCATGTTTTGCTGTGGCCGGGAAACCCTAAATATGAGACGGATCAAAAAGTAAATAGGAGGTGCACAATGGCAATATGTAATAAAGATTCTGTAAAGTTTCATTTAAATTCACTCAGTGGTATGAAGAGGAGTTGCGGATAAGAGATGGATTATGGACTCTAAAGAAGGCATAAAAAAGAACACCTTGACAATGTTAAAATAGCGCAATAAAAGACTAAGTGGCATAAATAATTTAGATTGTGCGTACTGGTCTTTGCTGACAAACTTAGCAAATAAAAACGTAAGGCTCATTATATAAAATTTATTTAAGAGGAACTTGGGTTAATTCTGCAGCAAGTAGTAATCAAATTGAAACTCATATCTCCCTTTCTAAGGAGGAAATTCTTCTTTAAAATCATGTCAGTTTTGAATATTTTTAATTCTAAACAACCAAAATGAATTTGAGTTACCATATCCGTATTGGATACACTCTTTAAAGACAAAGATACCAAGCGGGTTCCAGTAAATGATCAGCAGCCATGTTTACGAAGCTATCTTAGGACTAAGAAACGTCTTAAGATATACTTATGACATTTCTTAAGACTAAGTGTGGTTTTCAAAAGTATCCTAACTTAGAAAGTTCATAACTTTAAGAATGATCTTAAAGTTAAGACAGCTTTTGACATATCTTTTAAAAATGGTCGCATTACAGTCATTCGACATTTTTAAAACGTGCTGATTTTTAGCGATTTTTTATTTGTATTTTAACGAGAGTATTCAGACACACCTAGAAAAACACATAATAATGCAAATTACACCGATTCGGGGAGAGAGAGAGAGTGAAAAAAAAAAAAAAACTGAAAGAAAAAAAGAAAGAAAGAAAAGGAGCTTCTCGACGAAATCGTCGTGTCAGACGTGACAGAGTATTTTGAGATATTGATAACCCTTTTGACTACCTTCATGATGAAGCTATAATGAAAAGGTATTGGCTTTGAAGATCCTTAATTCTTGATTTATGCCTCATGCAGATGCATACATACTATTAGTAAAATGTAATATATTGCCTACAATGATTTTTTCTTTGAAGAACTTGTAGATACGTTGGAAAATCTTGAAAATAAAATATATAGTTTCTCCACCTCATCAAATTATCATATGGCATACCTATTTCACAAAAAATGAGCTAAACATAGTTTCACAGTTGATAAATTAGGTTGATCGACTGTATACTATATAGTTTACAAACCGTGAACTATAGTTAACAATTCGCTAACTATAGTTTTCATCTGTAAAACTATATTTGACGATTGTTAACTATAGTTTACGAATCCTAATCTAAGATTATCTGTATGTAATAAAACGTTAACAATAGATTTTTTTTGCTAAAACATATAGATTCAAGTCTGTAAACTATAATTTACAATCGTGAACTATAGTTAGGAGTTGTTTATTATAGTTTCACAAATCGTGAAACTGTATTTATCAGATAATCTATGTTTTGCAATCGCAAATACTTGTTTTCAATGTTAAGTAAAGTTGACGGTTCTGAAACATAGATTGTTGCGTTAACTATGGTTTACGGATGTAAAATATAGATTAACGTTATGGCACGCCACATTCACAAAAATGAGATAGAACCTTAGTTTCACAATTGATAAACTAGGTTTATCGACTGTAAACTATAGTTTACAAACCGTAAACTATAGTTAACGATTCGTTAAATATAGTTAACGATTCGTTAAGTATAGTTTTCATCTGTAAAATTATATTTAACGGTTGTTAACTATGGTTTACGAATCATTATTAAAGTTTATCTGTCTGTAATAAGCGTTAACAATAGATTTTGTTGATAAACATAGATTCACGTTTGTAAACTATAGTTTACAATCGTAAAATATAGTTAAGAGTTGCTAATCATAGTTTCACAAATCGTGAAACTATATTTATCAGATCGTTAACTATAGTTAACGGTTTGTAAACTATAGTTTACAAATCGTGAAACTGTATTTATCAGATAATCTATGTTTTGCAATCGCAAATGGTTGTTTTTAGTGTTAAGTATAGTTTACGGTTGTGAAACATAGATTATCGCGTTAACTATGGTTCCCGGATGTAAAATATAGATTAACGTTGTTAACTATAGTTTACAGTCCGTAAACTATAGTTTACAATCGATAAACCTGGTTTATCGACTGTGAAACTATGTTTAGCTCATTTTATTGAATTTGGCGTGCCATATAACGTTGTTAACCATAGTTTACAGTCCGTAAACTATACATGTAGTTTACAACCGATAAACCTAATTTATCGACTGTGAAACTATGTTTAGCTCATTTTTGTGAATTTCGCGTGCCATAAGCAGTATTTTGATTTCAATCTGAGAAAATTTAGAGCTTCTCTTTCGACTCATCTGCTGGGTGTTTTCCCGTCAAACCAGAAACTGTGAATCAATAAGGGTTTCAGGGAGCAAATTGGTGCGCTTTATCATCTTCAAGAATGAATGATTAAATTGTACTCTATTTGAATTTTATGTTTCAGTATATCGTCGAAATAAGATGATTATTTTGAAAAATAAAATATTTATATTTATAGATTTTTTTTGAAAAATAACTATTTCTATTTTTTAAACTCTTTTAAATATTTTCAATACGACGACATTACGTCTCTTACGTTTAGCATTATATAGCTAAAATGCCAACCGATCTCTGATTCCTGACTTTG